GATTATTTGGCCGGGGAGTTAATATCATTCTTAGTTCATGGAATTTATTTAAATCTGTATTTTAGAAATGTTAGAAAGGAAACGTTAAAAACAATTAATGAGTATCGAAAAAAAAAAATAAAGAAAAAAATGCATCCTCTTACTTTTACGATTAATTTACGTGAGCAGTTAATGCCATAAGACTTTATTGTTTACATTTGCCTTTCATCATTTCATTCTCATAACATCGTTTCATAGTTATATAATAGACATTAGTGTTACTGTTGTGTTTTTGGTTTTTAATACTTCTATCATTATCATTCGTTCGTTTTGGTTGTTTTTGTGTCATCTAAACCAGTGGTTTCTAGCTTGTAGGTCGCGACCGCAAAAGAGTCGGTTAGCGCGGGGTCAAAAAGCCTTGAGGGAAAAAAATATTGTTTGCATATCGTATGCAATGAAGTCATATTTCAGGGGATATTGTAGTGTAATTAGGCAAAATAAGATTTTTTTTTTTTTTTTTTTTTTTTTTTTTGGGGGGGGGGGGGGTATTAGCAGAAAAATATGTAACAAGAAAAATCTGCCGGGGTTGCAGATGAGTCGCAGACTTAGGTGGTTGCGAGTAGAAATATTGAGAGCCATTGATCTATGCGATGACTATGCTTTCTCTTTCCATAGTCTCTGTGAAACACAAATTGCATCTCACTTCGTCTTGCAGATTTCCTCCCGAAATGCCTTACTACAGCGACGAGGACGAGGACCTGCAGGTCGACATGAGCCAGTTCGAGCTGCGGCCGCGGCCCGGAGGCCCTTTGTTCTACTACGAGGATGACGCCCCGCCGTCGTCGCCGCCGGACGACCGCCCCCCCGCCATCCGCACAGGCAAGAGGGGGCCGCTGCCGCAGCGCTGGTCGCCGCCCCCCGAGACTAGGCAGGCGAGGCCCGCCCGGGCGTTGCGGGCTGCCTCTCCCGCCCGCCGGCGTTCCCCGTCGCCCGCGCGCCGACGCTCCCCTTCTCCTGCTTTCCGTCGATCTCCTCCTGTCGATCGTCGTTATCCATCTGCTTATCATCGTTCTCCCTCTCCCGCGTATCGTCGCTCTCCGTCCCCCTCCTATCGCCGAGCCAATTACCATCGCTCTCCCTCTCCGGGTTATCGCCGCTCGCTTTCTCCTGCCTACCCTCGCCAGTCTTCACCACCTCCTTACAGCCGCTCTCCGTCGCCCCCCTACAGGAGGACGCCAGCAAGGAGTCCCAGAAGGTATCATGGCGACAGATCTCCTTCCCCCTCAAGGCATGCTCGCTCTCCTGCCCCGCTACAATCTCCCAGCCACAGAGGCCATCTCGACAGCCCGTTCGTAGGCCTTCCCCTGGCCCGAATGAAAATCACGAACGGCCATGAGTCCCGCAGTGAGATGCAGAATCACAGAGAGAGAATTCCCACCACCAGAGAACCTCCTCGACAGAACAGGCGAGCTCCCCAACGAGATGTAGATACCAGCAGTGACGACGCCACTTTAAGGCAGCCAAGGCCCCCCCCTCCATCCCACAGGAGATCGAAGCCCCAGAGTTCGCAGTACCCTTCGAATCAGCTCAAGCCAAGTAAGTCCCCCCTGCCAACGAAAGCGGAGCCAACGACAGAGAGGCAAGGTCGACAGCCTACCCGCTCGAGGGGTCGTTCGAGGTACTCGCCGACGCCCGATTATGACCTTTCAGCGATGCCCTATGTGCCAGATCCTGACTACTGAGAGATTTTGATCCGGACGAATATTCGATTTCATGAAAGTGGATTTTGATATAAATAATCACAATGTATTTAGATGAGGGTTTCTCCTTTGGTATTCATCATTTGTAAATGCAGTAATTCATTATCAAGGTTCAACCCAAAAGATTAGTGAAGAACAATTTTTTTCCAATAATTGTCCAATTAATTGTGGTCGTGAATTGGTTATGGTTTGAAATATTCCCATTAAATACAATAATTGCAGCTTCACACATTGAACAATACTACATACTAAATTAAGTGATGATATATTGCCATTCTATAAAATATATATTTTAATTACGTGCTGTCTTTTATAACTGTGAATATCTTGAGTTTGTCACTTCTTAAAAAAAACAAAATATCAACCTTATATTGCATTTGTGTCTTTTAACAGTAGATCTTTTAACAGTAAACTAGGTTAAAACTTTTAATTGTGAAATATCCTTCAAGGATGTAACACATATAAGCTCACTGTATTATATAACACCCTCCTTGTTAGTGATTGGTGATGGTTGTAATGTATGTCTGAAATATTAATGTCATAGTTTTATTATGATTTGTAATAATATACAGTATGTTACTGATTTTTCTGTTCAGTCTATAGTTATCTAGTCATATGAAACGAACATATACTGTATTGTATCCTGCTATGGGTTCAGAATATATACTGTACATAACCAAACCTCTTACTGTTTTTGCATGTATCACTTCTTTATCAGTCAAAGCCATGTATTTTTTTCAATAAATAATATTTGAAAATTATTCATGTATAAAAAATCTCATTGCCTTATCTTTTTCAAGAAAAGAAAATATATCAGTAAACTGCAAAAAAAAGGAATATATATATATGTGTGTGTGTGTGTGTGTGTGTGTGTGTGTGTGTATGTATATGTATATGTATATGTATATATATGTAAATATATATATATATGTATATGTATATATATATATATATATATATATATATATATATATATATATATATATATATATATATATATTCCTCCTCAGTAAATTTTACATCACATACTCCTCTTTCATGTAATAAAGAGATTTTTTTCTAGATTGGATGTGTAACTTATATACAAAATTGGAAAATAAAACACACTTATAAGAACTCATCTTATTTGTGATAAAGCCATACAAGTATTTGGGAATTAAACTTATAAATAAAAGTAAAGGTAAACAGATAAAAATATATAGAATTGTGAGAGAACTTTACAAGCTATAGCACCTGTGTGGTTCTTCCTGTTAACGAGTGCAAACCAGGAAGCTAAAACTGCTGTAAATTCTCTACAGATTTCTTGTCAAATTAAAAAAAAAAAAAAAAAAATATTAAACACAAAATTCTGTTGCTATGCCAAAAGGGAATACAGTTAGGTATCAGCTAATATAATAGGTATTTAATGCATTTCATTTAACAGAATAGCACACCAACAACACAGGAATGTTTTCACGTGGAAATGTTATTGCAATTTTCAGTCTTAATTGCTGCTTCTTCTGGAGTTACAATGTCTCCAACAATGCCTCCAGCATGGATGACTGCAGAGCTCAGCTGGAGGAGCCCATACGAACACAAGTTGTGGTAATATTGAAGCCTCTCATCTGCCATGATTACAACCTAGGCTGAATCAAAGGCTATTGTATTCCTTATTTGTAATAAGAAAAAAAAGAGGTGTTTACATCTCATGGCTTGTAATACATGACTATCCGACAGTTATCCAACACTTGTATACATATAAGGATACCCAGAAGATTGGGAACAAATAAAGAAAATAAAGAAAAGAGAGAAAGGGAGAATAGGATAAGGTATGTGGTCTGAATAACTCATCTTTTTCAACAGTCAGTTATGACGCATATTGTCTCTTCTTTCATTCATATATTCACCAAGGAATAATACACTTCAGAGACCAGCTTCAGAAGCCAACAAGCAGAGAACTAATCCCTGATGTGGCTCTTGTTTGCAAAGGTCTCGGTTACTTAGAAATATGACTATGATTTAGGGCTAGTCAAATGGTCTAGTCCTTGTTATATATTTGGTTACTTGGCAGCTGACAATCTAACTGTTTAGGGATTACCTTGATGCTCAAATAGCAGTATTAATCAGGTTCTTCATTATCTGTGATTACCAACCCTCACATCCTGCATAAGTTATGACTAGAACATATTAGCATCATTGTATATTAAGTACACATGGAGGGGATGTTATAGTTTGTAGGTGTCATCAAATACGCACATCCCGATGCTTGGGCAGCCTGAAACTCATATGTAAGGAATTGCCTCTCATAAATGGGGCGAGAGCTGTTCTGTCAAGGTTACTGCGCCGTGGAAGTGTCAGATCTCCACGTAGCACATCCTCAGCTTCATCCTCAAGCACACAGTCATTGTCTAGTGTCTCGTGTGCAAGGTCCAGCCGAGACAAAGTAAGGTTTGTCCTTGAGCCTCGGAGGTCTGATCTTGATGCCCGGAGGTCACTTCTTGAAGCTCGTAAATCTGATTTGGAAGCTCGTAAGTCTGACTTTGAGGCCCGTAAATCTGACCTCGAGGCCCGCAGGTCTGATTTTGATGCACGAAGGTCCTGCCTTGATGCCCTTAAATCTGCTTTGGATGCCCTTAAATCTGACTTGGAAGCCCTCATCTCTGCCTTTGATGATCTGAGATCTGACTTGGAGGCCCTAAGATCTGATTTTGATGCCCTGAGATCACACTTTGATGCCCTCAGTTCAGATTTTGAAACATGAAGGTCGGTACGTGATCCTCGGAGATCAGCTTTGGATCCCCTAAGGTCAGCTTTGGATCCTCTGAGTTCAGAAGACTTTGAAACCTTTTTCACAGTCAGCTGTGTAATGGCTCGTGATACAGAACCAGTGCATAACTTCTCCCAAGGCTTGGCCACAGAGCAAAGGGTAGCATGGTCAAAATGCGTGAGAGATGGCCTCCGACCTCCAAGGTCTGAATAGTCATCCCAGGACACAACACTGGCTGCATCCCCTCCATCATAGGAATCAGAGTGACACAATCTAGGGTTTTCCACTCGGGAATCCTCACAGTCATGGCAGGACACACCACTGTCAACATCAGAATCACGGGTGACAATCCCTTCTTCTGGCAAAGGTCGTGTTGTTTCTGCCAAAGGCCTGACTATTTCATGTAGGTGTTGGGTTGCCTCATGAAGGTAGCGAGGATCATCAATAACAAGTGACGCCCTTCTTGTTGCACGGATGGGGTGGGGGTGGTGTAGTGAGCGTAGTGTGTCTTCCATGTCTACGCTCAGCCGATGACCCTTGCGTCCCTGCTTCCTCCCTAGGGTAGCTGAGGCACCAATCTGTATCTGCTTCCGGATCTGCTTCTGGTTCTGCTGTATCTGTTGTTGCTGTTGCTGTTCCTCTGGGATAGTACAGTGGCACAGCGGAGGCACAACCAGTGAGCTGTATCCTTCTGTGAAAGTGGGACTGCTGCTTGAGTCACTAGAGTAAGCCGAGTCAGCATGGTCAGCTTCAGCCAAGGGGTATAAGTGATCGTTTGAGGTGTAGTTATCTTCATATCCATTGTGGAAGTGTGTTGGCTCTTCAGTGTCTTCTTCGGTGTATGGTTCAGTCAGAATAGATGAATGAACTGGAGTCAAAGGTGCAGTCATCCATGCATGGTTAAGACAATCATCAACTGTAAGTCTGTCACTGTAAGAAAAGACAATTTTTATTAGTTTCAGCTATGTTCAATACAACCTGAAATTAACTAGTACAAAACATATTACTGTGAAATGCATTTTGTTTCTCAGAATGAATCAAACTTATAAGGATATTAAGAAAATATAACTCAAGACACCTAATTCTTGCTAGTTATGTGCTGATCTCCAAACATGACTAAAAATGGCACCAGCACTTCAAGTCAAAAAACTAAAAGCATGAGTTGACACACATGACACTGACCATTAAATTCAAATATTCACATTAATGCAGTTAATAAAATAAATCTCCTTCTTTCAGTTAATCATTAAATAGGGATTTTCCTAAATTTTGTAAGATATGCATCATCCTATCAAATAATTAAATACTGTAGTGTAGTTAAAAGCTTTGCCTGAAACAGTTTCTGAAACAGAAAGTAACTTCTAAATCTAATTTTCTTTTAGCTCAACTTGCAACTATATCCAAACCATAAGCAACATCATAGCTTGTAATAAACCAGTAACTAATAAACTGTAACAAAATATATATCCTAATATATATACTAATACATATGCTAAATATTACTAAGATTCTATTTCGAAGAACAATGATGAACAGAAATTTACTTCAACTTTGCAAATGTTTAGAAAGACATTTATTAACTGCCAGTATGTTATTAATATTAAAAGTGGAATTATTTGATTTTCTTCTTTTTAGTTATGCAAATGATAAATCAAAATTCAGTGGAAAAGTGGATAATTATATAACAAACATTAACAATATGAATAAATTAAATATAGCTATCTATTAAACATGTACTATCAATATCTAATGATCATGCAGTGATAATTCATTCTAATATTTTTTAGTCTATATGAACATTAACTCACAAAGTTCAGCATACAGGAACAAAGATGATATATACATATTTTCCTTGTTAAGAGTTTTATTTTAAGCAAATCAATCAATCTGAATTCATTATAAGCAAAAGCTATTCTTCATATTTTTTCATTCTAGTATATCACAGGTCTAATTCCAGTTTTTGACACCATTTCCTAAAGAATCCATAAAGAAAAAGCATAAAAGCTTAAAATTGCTTATTTCATCATGGTCTCCATTGTTCTTATTATATAGAAAATTATCATAGCAAGAGATATATCAGTTTTCATAAAACGAGTAATTAATAATGATAATGAAAATATACAAAAATATCATTATAAAAGAGAACAGAAAATTGAAAAGAAAAAGAAGAGATTATGGTATAAAAAATAATAATAATAATAAATAATTAATTAATCAAATAAACAAAAAAAGAAATAAGATGAAGAACAGTTGAAAGAAGGAAATATGGGCTAAACGGCAAAAGAATAAAACCCACCTCGGTTTTTTGACAAGAAGGCCACAGATGAAGTCTTTGGCTTGTTCAGAGACGTCAGCAAACAGGTCCTCCGGGAAGTCAAACTCTGCCTGGGTGATGTTGACGAAGGTCTCCTGGTCAGTGTCTCCTCCGAAGGGCGTGCAGCCACTCAGAAAAACGTAGGTAAGCACTCCAATTGCCCTGGAAGAAGGAGGTGAGAGTGAGTAAGGGGTATTATCATATGTCATCGGGTATTTTCTGTTTTGATATTTTTTTTGGGGGGGGAGGTTTTCTTTCTCTTCCATATCTATTACTTGTGTGTGTGTTGTGTTTTCTGTTTTTTTTTCCTTGGTCTTTTTAGAATCCAGTGCTCTTTAGTTTTCCTTCTTCTTTTTCTTGATTTCAGGGTTTTTTTCCCTCCATCAAAAAATAGTCAACATTTTCTTCTTTAGAATCTTTTTACCACATTCAACCCTGTACAACCAATGGCATGTATAGAGTCACTAGATAACGATATAGAGTCAACTAGATAACTATATATATGGATATATATAGATATAACTATAGATATAGAGTCAACTAGATAAGGATATAGAGTCAACATTTTCTTCTTGAGAACCTTTTTACCACTTTCAACCCTGTATAACCAATGACATGTATATAGTCACTAGATATAGGAATGAACAAGTCTGTTGCTACTTCTCCCACCCACTGCCCTTATGGGATTTTATTGTACCCTA